TGGTATTCTCCACTTACACAGTCAAAGCCTTCGTCCTTTTAAAAATAATGATATAATGTGATAAAAATAACATGTTCACTGTAAGGTGATTTTTAAAAAGTATCTGTTCATTTGCTTGGTGGAATTTCAGGCAACTTTTTTTCTTTGGTGAATTTCAAGTTTCCAAATTTTCTGCAGTCTATATTAATTTCATAATTTAAGCTTTTAAAGAAAAGAAACTTCAGGTTGTTAATTACTGGTAATTTAATACAATGTGACTCATGCTGGCTGCTTTAAATCCTTTTTGGATTAAGGTTTACAAACACACAAATAAATAAAGAGATAAATAACATTTGCTAAGCAAATTGCAAGTAAAATAAAACAAGATGTTGGGCTCTGGCTGTGGGAGCCAACTCCTTTTATTTTTTAGTTATTTATTTATTTTTAAAATATATTTTATTGATTTTTTACAGAGAGGAAGGGAGAGGGATAGAGAGTTAGAAACATCGATGAGAGAGAAACATCGATCAGCTGCCTCATGCACACTCCCCACTAGGGATGTGCCTGCAATCAAGGTACATGTCCTTGACTGGAATCGAACCTGGGACCCTTGAGTCCACAGGCTGACGCTCTATCCACTGAGCCAAACCAGTTAGGGCAAGGAGCCAACTCCTTTTAAAAGAGAAACACTCTTTGTAAAAGAAGAAAACTTGTATTTTACATAAGAAATATACTCCAGCCCTAGCTGGTTTGGCTCAGTGGATAGAGCATTGGCCTGTGGACTGAAAGGTCCTGGGTACGATTCTGGTCAAGGGCACATGCCTGGGTTGTGGGCTTGATCCCCAGTAGGGGTCGTGCAGGAGGCAGCCAATCAATGATTTTCTCTCATCATTGATGTTTCTATCTCTCTCCCCCTTCCTCTCTGAAATCAATAAAAATATTTTTTTAAAAAAGAAATATACTCCAGCATACTTAGTTATAAATAAAATTGTTTTTAAACCTTCCTACTCAAAGATAGCCTATTGTGATTTTTAAAATAGAACAATCACTCCTCTGAGAAGTTTTTACAATCAGTAATATAAAATGGAAACTCTGCTTAAAGGAATATATTGGTCATGAATCCAGAACAGGAGACAAGCTGTTGCAACAGAGCAAATAGCTTGAGTCTGGCAATCCCAGATCCTGAGGTGGGAAATGTTCAACAGTGCATTTCCTATTGTAAGAAGCATAGAACCACTCATGCTGAAAGACAGACTTCCTGTCCGCCCGGAGCTCCAGAGAAGCTGCTGGGTGGCTTTGGCACAGGGTTCCCCGGCCAGATGAGAGGCAGGATCCCTGAAGACAGTTTTATAGGAGCTATAGTGGTGACTGTTTCTGATGTTGACTCTTAATGAAAACCAAGGGCTCAGAAATGCTTTCAATTGTCTTAGTGCTGACCAATAGAACTTTCTGGGCTGATGGGAATATTCTTTGCCTGCAGTGCCCAGTAAGTGATGTAGCCTTCATCCTCATGTGGGTTCTGAACACTGGAAATGTGGCCAGTACAACGGACTATTATTAAAACTAAACTCTAGTTTAATTGTATTCCATTTCAGTAAATTTAGATAGCCACATGTAGCTACTGACTGCTACACTGAACTGAGCAGGACTAGAAAGTATGGAAAGGATACTAAAACGTCATCCATTACGCCATGAAAGTCACAGCAAATTTTGTTGCCCTAAAATACTGATAATGCTTGGTGACAATTTAAACATTCAATGAAAAAGACATTTATTTTGTACTCAGAATGGTCAACCCATTGGTGATATAGGAAGCTGATTCACAACTATGCATTCTATTTATATGTGGTGGTAAAATTAGTATCAGTGAATATTCTCTCTCTCTCTCTCTCTCTCTCTCTCTCTCTCTCTCTCTCTCTCTCCTTGTCTCACTTCCTTTTTTTCTTTTCCTTCTCTTTATTTTTTATTAAATTTATTGGGGTGAATTTGGTTAATAAGATTATATAGGTTTCAAGTGTAGAATTCTATGTTGCCCTGTGTGTCCAAATCTCTTTCTTTCTCCCTTTTCCATGTTTCTGTTGGTTGGGAAGCTATTGAACCGAAAATATGGTCATCTTCAAAAACAGCCTTTCCAGTTCCCACAAAGGCACTGGAACATGTACACATACCGAAAGGCAGAACTGTGTTTTGCTTTGTGGTAATGAATCAGTGTGAAGAAAAGCTGGAAGAGGGAAGAGAGGTGAGTGAGTCTGACACATGGAAATTTAATATTTCAGCTGGCAGGTCACACTGGCAGATGGGTGTGGGAGACAGCCATTTAGTCCGTGCATGAGTGAAGCTCCAATAAACAAGGAAACAGAAAGCTAATGTGATGGAGAGTCATTTAGGAAAGGCTTCAAGGAAACTATGAATGAACACCGTGTGGCATTGAAAACTCCAGGACAAATCTATGGTCAACATTTCATCTGGTCCGCTTCAGAAGGAAACAGTTAGAAGTGGACAACATATACAAGAGTCTCCCGAGGGAGTTAGATCTGTGTGTGATGAGACTCCACAAAAGTAGAGGCCTATGAGCTTTTTTGTGACTCTAGTGCAAAGCACGTATACCTTAGAGATATTTAATTGACTCGTTTACTGATGTGTATTTTTTTAGAAAAATAAACTAAATAACACATAAAAATTCTCCCTTGAAAAACCAGACATTAAAGTTATAAAATAAAAACAACCACATGACTTTGAGGAGAAAGCACCTAACTCATTTGATATAATATTGGCTAACAGCTGGACATACATGAAGCTAGCTGCTGAAAATTAAATTATATCATATTTAATTTAAAACATCTTTCACATAGTGAGTCCCCATATTCTTCTATACCACTGAGCCACTAAACATTAAAAAAAGACTGTTAACTACTTTGACTGGATTACCTGGCAATGCAAGCCAATCCATGAGTCATAATTGGAGCAAAAGAATCCAGGGATGTTTGTCAAGGGGGTGGCTTCCCTAACAAGGGTATTTATAGCACAAGGGGGTTCAATTTCTCCTTCTGAAATAAGATTTTGTTCTCAGTGACTGAGAAGCCCAATGATAGCATTGGGGTCCTAAAACTACGTATGACTAAACTTTAGAGTAGCTTTATTTGAACCGTAGGCTCCCATCTCTTTTTGGTACCATTACTAGAGCACTGTGCTCGTCATTTTCCTTGATGTCTTGGCCTGTCTGTGTTCCCACCAGGAGCTCCTTGAAGAAAGGCCCTGTCTCTGTATTCTCAAAGGCGCTCAGTCACTGTTACACGGTCAGTACTTCACAAACAAAGGGTTGGGAAATTAGATTGCTGAAATAAATAACAGAGCCCAATTTCCTTGTAATTGCATTTTCTAGAACAGGGACAAGGAAGTCCTAAGTTTGGTAGGTTCGGAGAGCACAGTGCTCCGGAACATGGGCTGTGGAGTCAGGGAGTAGAGGCTCTGCCACTCGGGATGTGAGTGACCATGAGCAAACCCAAGCCTCGGCCTCTGCATCTGGAAAATGGGTATGATCATAATGCTCCCTTCAAAGGGCGGTGTGAGTAACATGTGAGAAGATGTGTCTGAGGCCTGCAGCATGGTCATTGGCACAAACAGGGTTCAATAGATGTTAGCTATGGCAGTGCTATTGTTAAACATTTTGAAAATAGATAAACATTTATCCCTTTTTGTGGCATTAAAATATACTGCAATCTCACTTTCTTCTTAAATTTGATCCTTTTTCATTTCTTTATAGAAAAATACAGTAAGTGTTTTCAAAATTAACATATGCAACTGTCATGCTGTTTGTGTGGCACACGGTATTCAAAAGGCACTATTTCCTGTCCAGCTTGACGCAGCATGGCCAAGGCAAGGGTCCCAGGTGACAAAGGTAAAGGGATTGAGAAGTACAGATTGGTAGTTACAGAACAATCATGGGGATGTAAAGTACAGCCTAGGGAAAAATAGTCAATAATACTGTAATAACTATGTACGGAGCCAGGTGGGTGCTGGAAACATCTGGGGAATACTTTGTACAGTATATGATTATCTAACCACCATGCTGTACCCCTGAAACTAATACAAAATAATATTGAATGTATACACACACACACACACACACACACACACACATATATATACTTCTGATTAAATTAAAAAACAGTATATTGAGGATAACTCCAAAATGGCTGTAAATCAGTAGCATTTATTACAAGTCTCCTAACTGCCATAAAGAATATCCATTCAAGTATTCAAGTATTCATTCATTCATTCATTCATTCATTCATCCATTCAAATATTTATTGAGCCCAGATTATATCCAGGCACTGTCTTGGTGTTTGTGACACACAGTGGACAGGGTGGATAAAGGTCCCTGTCTTCATGGAGCCTACATTCCAACATGAAGCAAAGTTCACCTAAAATAAAGCATCTACTTAGTCATTCCCTCTTTTTATATCAAATACCATGGTATCAGACGTTTATAGACTAGTAGAGACCCTTATATATTTTTTATTTTTATCTGTTTTACTCACTCTGCCCTTCTGCAACAAAAACTGAATGTAATATTCTCTCAAATAGAAGGCAGACACAGTTCTTAAAGCTAAGGACAAATTTACAATAAAGCAGCGGGTTATTTTTACAACTGAGCTGAGTGGCAATGATCAGAATTCTCCCTTGCTAACCAGAAGTATAGTAGGAATGTGACTTTTTTCTTTTTTCAAACCAGTTTCCCTCCTTAGCGGCAGCAGAATACCCATGAAAGTCTGAAAAAAGAATTGTTTTCCTGGGAAAGAATTTTGATTGCACATGACTTTCTTTCAGCTAACTGTAAACACCACTAAGCTTACGAAGTAAGGAGCATTTTAAAGTTAATGCAAGTGGCATTTTTGAGAAAAGGGTGAACTAAAACGGTTAAAATGGATAAAGAACGCGGAGAGATGTGCTGGGTTGCCTTGAGCTGGAAGGCGGAGTGAAAGTGCTAAAATTCCCGGTCCTGCTGACAGGCCCTTTACCTGGCTGCCATGAGGTCCAGGAGATGCTGCCACCGGTCGTTGACCTTGCCCAGCTTGTATTCGATCTCCGAGGCCTTGCTCTCGTGGCTGGCTCTAGCGAGTCGCTCTCCCATTCGTTGGAGCTGTATTTTGTTCTCTTGGGCAACAGCAATTTCCTCCTGATAATCCTGCGCAATAAATAGCAATCCCAGCGGTCAGAAAGCATATTCTTGATACCTGCAGCCTGGCTGTCCTGGAAGCATATAATTATAGTTTCCTGCTGCTTGGAAGTAGTTCTGGCGCGAGGAACACTTTGGATATCCGTCCATGCGCACAAACCAAATGGAACCTATTATTTGCAGTATGTATGCAGAGTCCACATGGAATTTTTATGTAGATATCTTACAAGGGAATAGGGGGTGCTTTGTATTTACATAAAATGGGCATTAAAAAACAAAGGTACACACATGGATACAAAAGACAAAACTTGAAAGATTTTAATGCTGGGTTATTATACCTTCTTGTAACCACCAACCTGACATTATAGTTAGAATCAGTTCTCATACAAATAGCTGCCCAAGGGGCTTACACGATGTGTGTGTGTGTGTGTGTGTGTGTGTATTTAACATATAAATGTAAGTGTACGTGTGTGTTTGTCAATCGTTATTGATGCAGAATTTATATTACTTCAACATGATGGGATTCAAAGACCAATACATTGGATGCACTTACTAATAGGTATAATATTTCACCATACATCTGAGATACTTAATATAGATTTCAAGTAATTCAAATGAATTACTCTAAGCCTAATATTTATAGCGAAATAATGCTCTTGGGCTGTCTTTCAGATGAAAATGTTTTTAACTGTTAATTCCAGCAGACACCAGTGTCTTGGTTACAGTCTGTTTATTAATTGCTTTTTGCTAATATTGCTAAAATGACCAAGCCTCGGTGCTATTTTCCTGTACAAATGAGACAGCACAAGAGGCAAGCTCATAAAGACTTCTTTTTCAATTCCATAACTTATTTTATATACAAATAGTAGTTAATATTTTAAAGATGATTCCTAACATTGTGCCAAATAGTGTAACAAAATTAACTGTAAAAAATTAAAAATTTTTAAATTTTAAATTATAACTGCATATCATTCAAGGGCTAGTTTCTTTCCATACCCCCAAACTATGCATCTTAAATTTCATGAAGAAAATCAATGAAAATATAGACTTAGCTAACATTTATTCTATAGCAAACTTAACTACAACACCTACAGTGTGTTAATCATGTCTAGTGGGACATTCTCTGATGCTCAGATACTAGCAGAGCTATTAGCAGATGCTTACATGAAATCTATATTACCTCAGCCCTCATTTGAAAGGATTATGATATCAAAAATACAAACGTTTATCCTTAGAATTTGCAATTTTAAGTGGAAACTTACGAAGTAAATTCATATTACGTGTTGCTTTGGAGTTTTTATCTTTCTTTGTATGTGTGCATGAATACAGAAATTTTTTCCTAATACCCATATATATTTATTTTCAGAGACCTTGGAGGTACTCTGACCAAAGGAAAGACACTGGGGAGGGCTAACACAAAGCTTCTGAGAAATTGACATTATTCTGAGTGAAGGAGATGGAGTGCTGAACAAAACAGACCAAGTCCCTGTTTCCAGGAAGCTAAGAGTCCTGTGGGGCTCCCACTGCAGACAGATAATGAACAAGAAAGTGGAGAAGACACTGTACACCAGATGGTGATATGTGCTAATGAGAAACATAACCTAAAATATAGTGATTGTTCAAAAGTATGTGGAAATACCACTAAAATCTTCAAAGCATTTTTCACTGCTGGTAAATTTGATCAGCCCTATATAGATATAAAAACATTCTAAATCCATGTGAATATATAAAATACTTTAATAATAATATATAACTTGAGAATAATGCTAAACCAAAATTCTCAGAAAAGTTCTCATTCCTGTGACTATAAATCCTGTTTTATAAAGAAAATGTCAGCCTAGCTGAGGTGGCTCAGTGGTTTAGTGCCAGCCTATGAACCGGGAGGTCATGGTATGATTCCTGGTCAGGGCACATGCCCGGGTGTGGGCGCAGATCCCCAAGGGGGAGAGGGGCATGCAGGAGGCAACTGATCAATGATTATCTCTCATGTTGATGTTTCCCTCTCTCTCTCTCTTTCCCCCTCTCCCTCTCTGAAATCAATAAAAAAAATTTTTAAAAAGAAGAAAATTTCAGTTTAATTGATCCTAAGTTGTTGTGGTTTTTTTAAAAATTCTTCTCTGTGATGTTACCTCCTACACATAAATGATGCCCACTGGACCAGTAAGTAAAAGTCCAAAATATTGAACATTATCAGCAAATATTCTATTTCATAACAAATTGAAAATAGTCTCTGTAGAAAGACAAATCCTCTGTGATTGCACATATAGGTGGAATGTAAGGAACAAACTAAATGAACAAACACAACAGAAACAGACTCATAGATATGGAGAACAGACTGGTGGCTGCCAGATGCTAAAGGGGTTGGGGGACTGAGTGAAAAACGTAAAGGGATTGAGAAATACTAACTGGTAGTTACAGAACTGTCCAGGGGGAGGTAAGGTAAAGTGTAGAAAATATAGTCAATAATATTGTAATAACTATGGTACCGGGTGGGTACTTGATATACCAGGGGACCACTTTACAAGTATATGGTCATCTAACCACTCTACTGTACACCTAAAACTAATACAAAATAATACTGAACATAAACAGTAATTGAGAAATAAAATTTAAACTTAAAAATAAACAAATCAACAAAAGAAAATACTTTTAAAGTAAAGGAGGCCTTTCCATGCAAGTTTATTTTATATTAAAAAAAGGAAACGTTCCTAAGAGAGTGCTGCCTTGATGGAAAGTAATTGTGCGCGTGGCCTGCCCGCACCTACCGCAGGCCTCAGCACAGGGAGGGTGAAAACAGATGCGCCCGGGCGGCCCTACCTTCTTGAGCTTCTCGATCATTTCCTCAATGAGGATGTCTCCATTCTGGGAAACTTTGCTCTCCATCTGCGTCAGCCATTCGCACAGCTCCTTGTTCTTCTCACTGAAGACCGCCCATTCATTCAGCCTCTCGCTGACCTGCTGCCGCCGTAGGGAGAGCTGGAAAGTTAAAAATGAGAGAAAACACAAAAGGATGGTCAGAGTGGAG